CCGTTGCGGAGCACAGGCTCCGGACGCACAGGCTCAGCGGCCATGGCTCACGGGCCCAGCCGCTCCGCGGCATGTGGGATGTTCCCAGACCGGGGCACGAACCCGTGTCCCCTGCATCAGCAGGCGGACTCCCAACCACTGCGCCACCAGAGAAGCCCTAAACTTTTAATTCACTGAAAAATATTTTGGTGTATGGTACTAACTTTACTATTGTCTAAATTATCTACTAGTTGTTGTAGCACCATATAGTGAATAACCTATCCCTAATCCCACCTTTATCACAAACTAAAATTTATACATGTGAAATATAAATGTTTGTATTATATAATATTATACATTATCATGTCTGTTATTATCCAATATATAATATACTGTATATACTATACTGTATTATAATGTATATTGTATATATTATACAATATGATATGGTATAATGTGTATATATATTATAATACATATATACTATATATACATATACAGATATATATATACATACACACATATATACAATATAATACACATTGTGATATATAACATAAATGATATATAATAATGTGTATTATATAACATATATTTAAAATCATGTTATATATAACACATAAAAACATATATAAATATATGCATATGTCATATATAATAGTTTATGATATGTATATCATGATACATAAGAAATGTTATATATAATTCCATGTCTGGATTTTCTATTCTCTTCCACTGAACTCTCTATTTAAAAAAAATCAGTTTCACATCATTTTCATTATTATAGTTAGCATTTAATATCTAGAGATTCAAGTTCATTTAATTATAATTTTCCTTTCTTTGTTCAAATGTTCCTTAATTAGTCATATTAATTTATTTTTCCAAATAAATTCTGAAATTATTTTTTTGCAGCAGTTGTTGCAGAGAAGTTTGAAGCTCGCATGAATTTTTTTCTATGTTTGGTTAGCCTGTTTGTTTTCTATCTTTTGTGTCCTGCCAGGATGCTTATAGGAGTCATGTTTTATCCTTGATATTTGAATTTTTACCAGGAATGTGTCAATGTGAGTTTCTGCATTAATTTGCCTGTATTTGGGGACTACTTTTAATCAGAAAGACTAAGCCCTTTCTTCAACCTGTGAGAATTTTCTTTAAATATAGCTTCAAGTTCTTATGTATATGTTTTCCATATACAGGAAATATGTTTTCCATATACAGGAGAATATATGTAGCTTAATGACAGTTCTGAAGCATATGAGAACCCACCATCCATCTTAAAAGCTGCCATAGTACCCACAGGAAAGTCTTCCTTTTCTCATTTTTATGTTTTTCATTCCCTTCCTTCATAGTTTAGTTTTATCCATATATATATATTTGCTCCTAAGCAATATATTATTTAATTTGTTAGCTTTATAAAAGTGGTATCATGCTGTATGTAGTTTTCTTTGACTTACTTTTTTCACTTAACATTATGCTTCAACGATTCATCCAGGTAGTTACGTGTACTTACAGTTTATTCATTTTCAATATTGTATGATACTCCATTGTGTAAAAATACTACAATTTATTTATCCATTATTCGCTGATAGATATTTGAGTTGTGTCCAGATTTTTGCTATTATGAACAACGTGTCTTTGAACATTCCTGTTCCTGTTTCCTAAGACCCAGGTGAAGAAATCTGGAGAAGCATTACTCCAATTGTGATTGGAAACCAGCAGTGCCTCATCACCTGGGTGCTTCTTAGGAATGCAAATACATGGACTTTATCCTAGATGTACTGAATCAGAATCTCCAGGGGTGAGGCCCCCAAATTGTGTGGCTCTTTAGGTGATTCAGATGCTTGCCAAAGTTAAGAGAAGCACAGTTCTATAGTACAAACTGTAGTACTGGAATTGCTGGGTTACACGCAGGTATAAAAATATTCAGGTTTACAGGATAATGCCAAACTGTTTTCCAAAGTGATTCCAATTATTCCAACTTACACTTCCTCCAGCAGTGTCTGTATGTGTTCCCTGCGATCCACATCCTTGCTAACACCTGTTATTTTCAGACTTCTTAATTTTTGCCAGTCTAGTGGGCATAAAATAACTATTTCTTTTTGTGTTAAGAAGTCCTTCCTCATGTCTATTTCATAAAGATATTTTATGTTTTCTTTTAAAACTTTTAGAGTTTTTCTTTCATAGTTAAGTCTTTAATCAAAGTAGAATGTAGATTCCCCTCAGGGGAATCTAGGATTTGGGTTGGTAAGTCAGCTGACAGTAGGTTAAAGCCAAAGTGAATGTGAAATTTGCACGTTTACTTAGCTCCGTGCACCACCTTCAGACTCCTCTCTTACCCTTATTCTTTTCTCAGTTCCCTATTTAGCCTGCCTCTTTTTAAAAAACTCCACTTTCCCTCTCTCACTGTCCTTATCTCTCCCTCATGTAAACCAGCAGAACCAAATTATATTTCCTTCCTCCCTCCCTCCCTTTCTCCTTTCTTTTATTTTGCTATGAATATGTGCCATTTATATAATCACAAATAAAATTAAACAAATGGAATAATTCCTGAATATCTCTTAAGGCAATGACATGAAAATGCAGAAAAAATTATCTTTATGCATAGATGAGATAGGAAAAAAATAAAGAGTGCACATATATATCTAACAACAGCAACAACAACAAAAGGAAAGTGCATGAAAGATGCAATAGAAAGAGAACTTTTCAAACAATAACAGTCATAAGGAAGGAAGGCAAATATAATAGCTTTTCATGTCAACAATAAAAAAATCCAAAGCAAGGAATGCACTGCAATTTTCAAGGGACAAAGAGAGACCCAAACGAACATTCTTTAAGTGTATCAGACATGAGAAGAAGTTGAAGAAAAATAGAGTCCATTTATTAGTTGGAGAGGGAAAACTAATAACAGATGACACTAAAAAGACAGAGGTTTTAAATCTTTTCTTTTTCTTTAGTATTTGTCAGAAAGTCAATTGTGGTCTGAAAGCTGGAAAACGCAGTATATAGAGTAAGTTCAACCAAAATAAATGGGGAAAAAAAAAGAAACGGACAGAGGGTTGCAGAATTTACTGGATTAATCACTGAACCATGTGTTCCTCAAGGTCTAAGACTACTTACTCATTCCTAAAGCCCATGCCTAGTAGAGTGCCTGGCTTATAGGAGGTACTAGAATTCAATTATGGAATGTGTACTATGTTTAAGGCTCCATGCTAGGCATTAGGAACATAGTGGTGAATAAGACAAATACAGTTCTTGCCATCATGAAGTTTATAATCTTATCAAGAAAAATAGTCCTTAAGCCAACGAGTTATGCAATTAATTTCAATAGAACTAATGGTAAT